CACTGTCCATCAATAAAAGGGTGAAAAAATACTATATACATTATATAATATATCACATTTTACAATTTAGTGAAATGGGTAAATGTTGTACATTTACAATTTTTTTTAATCATAATATTTCAAACTATTTGACTATTTTGAACAAATGAATACACACTAAAAAAACTGACTGACATTTGAACAGTAATGTATTCAAATTTTTTTTCCAATTCAATTTATTTATAGAGCACAGATAAACACAACTTCCGTTGACCAAAGTGCTGTACACAGGGAAAAATTAAAATGAAAATAAAAACAGCCACAGGGCACTTGCTTCCACATTTAGTTTGCATACGACAGGTCAAATAAAAACATCTTTAATCTCACTTTAAAGATGCGTAGGGTTGTATATAACTATTTAAGGTAACAATCAAGATTTTGGAACTCTAAGATATTTCTCCCCATCCTTGCAGGTTTATCAAGGGCTTCATGAACAGGAATCAGCCTGTAAGCATGGACAACTCGGAATATCTGGCCTTTGTCAGACAGAGCTACCTCACTCGACTCAAAGAGTACCTGCCAAAATCAGTAACAGACAAAACTACCTGGCTGACTCCTCCACCAATAATGCAAGAGGTAGTCCATATTTTGGACCTGTTATTATTGAAACACTCCAAAGTTATTGTTGTAACTGAGGTTCATGATTTCACTAACGAAACTTAACATTGTTATAAATTAATCTATAGGCCTCAGTGCTCTTACGTAAGTTGCACACACGTCTCCTCGTACGGAAGTATGTTCGAGGGATCAGTGCACAGCGGAAGGTGCAGGTAAAATTGTCATTTTGAGCTCTCATTTATCTGAACATTTATTTTCATATTTTATTTGCTGGCTGGAATTCCTTTACAGTTCCATTTCATTTTCAGCTGCAAATCAAAGCACTGACCAGTGACATATTCAAAGGCAGAAAAGAGAACTACCCTCAGAGCATATGCCAACCCTTTGCTGACACTAGGATAAGTAAGAGTTTATGATTTGATTTACCTCAAGTTATTCCTAATGAATAAACATCACAAAACTTTGCTCTTTCTATGTTATTGTCTTCAGGTGAACAGGACATGAACGTCAAAGTCTTGCAGCTGATTTTTCCTGAGGGCATTGAGGTAACTATACTATACTTACACACGTATGTACATATTTCTGAGCTTGTTTGACTATGAGTACGGAACATTTATATTCATTTATTTTTCAGTCAGACAGATGTTTGTATCATGGGCAGAGGAAACTTATTGTACACTCTCTCTCTATACAGTACAGTGTTCCAGTGATTAAGTATGACAGGAATGGCTTTCGGCCACGTTTCAGACAGCTAATCTTCACCCAGGCTGCTGCGTATCTGGTGGAGGAGGCCAAAATTAAACAGAGGGTGAATTACAGCTCACTTAAAGGTAAATCTTAATGTCCAACAGTGCTGGGTAGATAACTTTAAGATTACAAATTTACAAGTAAGATTACAAATTGTAGTCCATTACTGAATACAAATTACATGATGAAAATACATTTATAACATTAAAATGCTAAAATTTAAATCAAGTTAAATTAGAAGAAATAAATCATTTGAAAGTAAAGAAAATCTAAATAAAACCATCTAATAAAAAGCTGTGCAGCCTCTCAATTTTGTAATTTGTCACATCTGTTTCTCTATTTCATGTTCTTGTTTTCATGTCTTTTATTTAAACAAAACGTGAAAAAAATGCTAAATATTGGTTAGTTTTGACTTGACAACCTAACTTGACCTTAAACATGATAAACAAAACTCACTGTAACAGGGAACAAAGCTAGACAGGGAACAATGGAAACATGAAGGTTGTATATGCACAGAGAGACACAATGACTGACTAACAAGGAACACCTGTGTATAATCAAACAATGAACCAATGAGAAAACAGATCAGAGAAACACATGACCTGAAGCGACCAATCAGAATAGGACACATAAGACTAGAGGCGTGTTCGACATCGGCTGCGGATGGATGTAACCGATTGGAGAGAGTTGTGGGTGTAATGTAATCCAGAATACACATACCTGTAATCAACACTACTCGGCACAGATTCCCAATTATTAAGTCTATGATTGTATGGAATTTCAGAGGGATTTATTTAAATATATATTATTTTTTAATATAGTCTGTGCATTTTAATATAAATATAACTACTAGAAGTTATCCTATTTCATTAAAATGTCATTTTAAATGAATAGGTTATTTTTCAATAGTCAAGTCCCATATTATACCATACAATAACTTTGTTTACAAGATATATTTGCCTATTTACAGGAGTGTCTGTCAGCAATTTAAGTGACAACTTCCTGATTCTCCATGTCACATGTGATGACACAAAGCAAAAAGTAGGTGAACAAATATCTTAGTGCAGGGAGTAATTGCTTTAAATGGCTGTCATGTGGTAAATTGAAAGAAAAACAATCATTTTGTTTACATTATGTTAAATATTCTATTTTTAGGGGGACCTGGTCTTGCAGTGCAGCTATCTGTTTGAGGCATTGACAAAAATCTGTGTAGTGACAAAAAACCAAAGCCTTATCAAAGTTGTACAAGGAAGGTGAGATACTTTTACCTGAATCGCCTTTGGATACTTGGTCCTGCTATCAGAGATAGATTGTTTGTTGGATTGGTAACACTTTACAATAAGGTTTTACTTGTTTTCATTAGTTAATGCATTAACTAACATAAACTAACTAAAGCAATACATTTGTTTTGTTACTTAATAATCTTTGTTAATGTCAGTTAAAAAAGACAGCTGTTTAGTCATGTTAGTTAATAACAGTAAATAATGTATTAGTAAATGTTGAAATCACCATTAAAAAAGATTAAATGCTGCAGAAGTGCAGTTCATTATTAGTTCAAGTTAACCAATGTTAACCGCAGAAACCTTATTTTAAAGTGTAAGCATTGTATTTAAATGCATGCGCATTATACAATACATATACTGAATCACTGTCATTTTGTAGTGTGAGGTTTGACATCCAGCCTGGAAAAGAGGGCTTTGTGGATTTTAAGAGCAGCAGTGAATGCATGGTCTACAGAGCCAAGAATGGACACTTGATGGTGGTGGGTCCACATAATGCAATGCAAACATAATTAATACATTGGAAACATACAAAATATTAAAAGTGTAATCTTTATATCTTTGGGATCATTATAAACCTTATGTGTAATATTATTAAAAATCATGTTGAAATTAGTTACATATATTTATTTCATCATTTTGAAGGCATTTACATTTTTTCTTTGCAGGAATCTGCACGGACAAAATCTCGGTGACACGTTTCACCACACAAAACTTCTCTTCAATGGCTCAAATTAAGGCATTTCAGTCAAGTTTGAACACTACCATTTGCCCTAACAGTTTTCCTAATCAAACACACCTGGTTCAACTTATCAGTTCAATAAACTCCAATACCTGAAATGAGTTTATCAGATAATGGAGAGGAAATGCATACTGGGCGACTTCTGGAACAGGGTTGGGCAAGCCTAAAATGTGAAATTATTTTTTAAGAGACAAATCATGAAATATCATTGTAATTTATTCACCAATTAAGAGGAAAGGGAACCAAGTCAGACTGGTGTTATAATTGGATTTTTATTTTTTATTTGTTTTATTTGAATAATTTCAGGTTAAATTCTGTATTTTAGTTGTATACTTTACATTGTCTTTGTGTATTTATAAGCCCATATTTTGTTATAAACATTCATCAGTTAATGAAAATTACTACTTTTTTTATATCAAATTAATTGAGTTTGTCTTGGTTTTTGCTAATTGTGGAAGTTTCTGGTGGACAGAATATAGAAAATGTGTTGCTTCAGAGCACAAACCTTTTTTCCTCAAATGATTTTGTTAAATCATAAAAGTTAACTGTTCAGTAAAAAAAACAAATATGTGGATTAGTTACTCTGTTCAATAATTGAAAAAAAAAAAAAATTGTGTCAATTATGTTCGTTTATTGCGTTCTTTATCCCATACTGCCAACATCTGATACATAGGGCATGCCATCTTCTGCTATGTACGGATTAACATAACTAATGTCTAAAAAAGAGTTGAAACCAGTTTCATATTCCCAGAACACCATGCATGTAGTAGGGATACACAACATTTGTATATACATTTTAAATATAAAAATGCCACTTATTGAGAGACACAGAACACGTAATATAGAGATCTGATAATCAATTCCACAACAAGCAGTTGTCCTAAAGTAATACTTTATCTTGCCTAGTGCATTAACATTTCTGTAGCAGTTGCGGTAATCTGCAGCATTTGTATAACTTCACATAATCAAGATGTTCGACTCATTTGAATGATTAGTGTTTCTTTTATAAAAATGGTGATGTCTGTTTTTTCTCCTGCAAATTCAGTTCAGCCATGTGTATTATGACTGCAGTGGTAATAAAGTTGTTATTAATGCTTGAATTGTTGTTCTTTGTGGAGATTCAACATGAGACCCCGATGTTTCCTCTATAAGCATAAAAATAGAACTAAAAACATGTATATGATGATTCATAAATCATATTGAAATTTTTTTAGTAGGCTTATGAGATGATGTTTTGTTGCCACCTCGTGGTGAATGAATGGAGGATGTTTTGATTAAGGGACTTAAATATCGATGCCTCAAACTTAATCCTTTAAAACAAACTTAAGCCTATGTCTATAGCTCATTATGTTTTTCCAACTTTATTACGAGAAACGTTATCCACCTTAAACGAATGCGTGCAAGTGGCGCCGTGGAGCACCTTTATTTTGATGTTTAGGCCATTTCTTTTTTATATAGTTTTTTGTATACATACATGTTTATTGTATGTATAATGTTTAATACGTGTTGTATTTGTACAAAATGTATGTTACTTGAATAAAAACAAAAAAAGTGTGGCCGTGGTGCTGGTGACCATTTCGAAGTACTGATTGGCTGATTCCGTGTCAATCATTACCTCCCTCTATGACGTGAAGGCTTCCTCTTCGCTTCTTCCATCGCATCGACTGTTGTTCTTAAAATGGCGCCGCTGGACCTGGATAAGTATGTTGAAATTGCGAGGCAGTGCAAATATCTTCCAGAGAACGACTTAAAGGTGATTATCATCTGTAAAATTTGCTTTTTCTAAGAATGTTAAAGATATTAGTTGTTTGTATATTTATAAAGTCGTGTAGATCGCGAGAAAGGCCGTTAACATAAAAACGTTAGTGTGTCAGTGCAATGCAGTCTTTGCAAATGAATCTAGCGTTAATCAGTTGCTAATGTTAGCCTGTGTTCCGGGATTCACTTTCTACATATTATCAGAAATAACAGGTTATATGCCCCCCCCAAAAAAGCAGTTAGTCATTATAAAGTTGTGTAACCTTAACTGATTATTTCTTGTGAACACCTAGGGTGGCTAACTTAGCTATGTTGTTGCTATGAAGCGAACTAAATTGGAACGCCCATCTATCTCTTAGTTCGTCTTATTTAAAGCTATTCGCGTCTTTTATTAGCAGGTTTCATTCATGCCTGAACCTTTCCCCACTCCCTTATCCTAAAATAGAGTTCTTGTATGTGCAATTAGGCTTCTAAATTAGTCCTTAATGCAGAAATGCGGCCCATAACAGTATCACCCAAGCCATTAATGTGCTATTCTGAAAACTGCGACCTAAAAAGGCTCAGTTTTGACTTCCTTACGAATGAACGTGACCTTGGATTATTTGCTGCTTGTGCTATCATCATAATTGATGCCATCCTATTTGCCAGCTTGTTCAAACCTGCTATCTTATTTTGCTTTGACAGAGATTGTGTGACTATGTATGTGACCTGCTACTTGAAGAATCAAATGTACAGCCAGTATCCACTCCAGTCACTGTATGCGGGGACATTCATGGACAGGTGCGAGAAGGCCCTATTAATGCATCTATGTTGTTAGTTGCAGATCTTGTAATGATGACATTCTTTTTTTTTTGCCATAACATACTGGATATTGCTATAAACCAGAGGTGCTCAGTCCTTTTTCTGGAGATTACCTACCTGTAGAGTTCACATCCAATCTTGATAAAACACTCCTGTCTGTAATTATCAAGTAATCCTGATGATCTTAATTTGCTGCTTCAGTTGTGTTTGTTCAGGGATGGAGCTGAATTTAGCAAGACCTTAGATATGTGGAAACGTGATTGGACACCCCTGAATGAAACCTTTTCTTTGTTCCTAGTTTTATGACCTATGTGAACTCTTCAGAACTGGGGGCCAAGTACCAGACACAAACTACATTTTCATGGTATTGTATCTCTAAAGATGATGTGATGCATATTGTATTACAGTTCATACTTGGTGACATTTATGAAAGAGGTAACAGTATGTTCTCTTACCTTTAGGGAGACTTTGTTGACCGAGGATATTACAGCTTAGAAACATTCACATATTTGCTAGCACTTAAAGCAAAGTGGCCTGACCGCATCACACTGTTGCGTGGCAATCACGAGAGCAGGCAGATCACACAAGTGTATGGCTTTTATGGTGAGACTACAGAAATCAAATGCATGCCTATCATGATGAATTTATTGTATTGAGATTTTGTTGTACATTCATTTTAGGGTTTCATTTCCTGTCTTTCTGTCTGCAGATGAGTGCCAAACTAAATATGGAAATGCCAATGCCTGGCGATACTGCACTAAAGTTTTTGACATGCTGACTGTTGCTGCCGTAAGTGTTAAGATTTTACATGTACAATTTCAGTCTTTGTTAAAAGTCATAAGCCATAAGAGTCATAAGCTGTGAACCAAGCCAATCAGCTATGAGGTGTATTACAACACTATCTTTGATTTGAAGCAAAAAAAGGTTTGAAAAAATTGGACAAAGACAACGGTACGTAGAGAAATTTAACGCAATTGCGTCATTCGCAGTGCTGCTTGGGAGTAGGTGGAGCTACAGAGCTATTTTGGTGTTGCTTTTTTCCTGACTCTGGTGAAATTATCTATACAGCATTATGGGTAATGTAGTTTTCACAAGGAATAATGCTGTTAAACACAACTGTAAAAAATAAGCTGAAATAATGTGGACTGACAGCTTCAGCAGAAGTAAATACCATGTAACCTCGTATCTCACAGTAGGTCTGTCTTTAAAGGTTTATGAGTTGTTGCTCAAAATCACTTTTCCTGTGGAGAATCTGAATGGAGTTTTTACTTGAAGGATCCCGGTTGTTGCACTTCATAGTCAATTATAAATCTGTAAGCTTATTTTACCTACTTTTTTGTAAATAAGCATCAAAAACAAATGAAAATGAAATGTACTCAAGACAATTTCTTTAAAATGCTGAGCTTTGCACTGAGCTTTGACACTTTTTTTTTTGAAAAATGGTACTCATTTATTTCAAGTCCTGTATATTTTCAATGTGCTGTAGTTGCCAAGATTTAAAAATTGGACATTTTCAGAGACGATTTGTGGCAAAAGCACGAATGTTTATACAACGTGACCTGTAAAATATTCCACAATAGAGTTGACAATTTCATAGCAATTTTTTCCTGACTATAGTCCACCATGTTTATTCTGAAGTCTCGATTTTGCAAGATTTCCCGTGTTCACAGTCGGTAGTCTGGTTAAAAATCTGTTTGTGTGTGTTGTCTTCACATTATGGCAAATCACACTCTATAGGAGCAAAACTGTTAAATCTAGGATTTTTTTTTTTTTTGTCCATGTTTGTGGTCTCTCACATTTTGAAAATCTTATTAGATTTGAAATGTCTTTTGGTGTGGCCACAGCATAAACTATTAACTGATGCTAAAGTGTGTGAGACCTGATGAATACAAAAATTCACTATTTTGTCATTTCTCATCGGAAATCATTTTGTTATTTACGTTTATGCCCAAAGTTCTTAATCACTGTCATTCTCCTCTATGCTGTTACTGATTAATATTAATGATAAGAGCTCCAGCACACACAAGCAATCCTATTTATCAGTCAAATTCATTTAAAGCTGTAAACTCAACGGGTAAGAAATATGAACAGTAAGAGAAAACACTGTTTTTTTGCGATCAATATTTTTTTATTTTAAGTTAACATAAGAGAAAACACTGTAAATTAGAAGACAAGCACCATGTTAGTGGGGCATATTTTTTATTAATTATTCAGAATACGCAGTTGGAAAGAAAATATATTTATAGGAACATTTCAGAAGGTTCAAGATCATTTATATTAACTCAGAGGAATTGATAGCCATAAAATGTAGCAATAATGTATGTAGGCCTAGGTGCGCTGAACTGTTTCGGGAAACAATAGTTGTAATAAGTAAAACACAGAAGAAGTTGTGTAAGTGGTCTGTTTTCTTTTAAAAGTATTTCATATATATTTTTTCCAATTCTTATTTCCTTGTCGCTTATTTTATTTGTCCATGTCCTTAATTTTTTTTTATTATAAATGTTTCCCTAAGTTTGTACTAACACTCATTTCAAACTGTGAAATGAAGTAAATTATGTGCTTTATACATTATCTGCAATTTTTAAATAAACCATATATATATGAAGAGTTCAGATGCAAAAGCCTCTAAATGCCATTTGAAATTTTCTTCTTTAATGATGATTTTTATCAAACTTGTATATTTAAGTTCAGTAATTCCATTAAAATAACAATTAATAGGTAATTATCATTGCCATTTAAGTGAAATCACTGAACTTAAATATACAAGCTTGATAAAATTATCATTCTAGAAGAAAATTTCAAATGGCACTTAGAGGCTTTTGCATCTGAACTCTTCATACACACACATATATATATATATATATAAGAAATCAACAAAAGATCAAATATGTTTAATTGTATAGCTGGTACTCAATCAACATAGAATGTTTACTTGAGATATGTTTTGTATACATTTAGCCTAATGCTTAAAAAAACCTCTTGGATTAAAAATGCTATTTTGCACTTTATAACTGTTTAAAAGACTGTTTAACATGTATTTTCCTTCTGCTGTACTTACTGTGATGTTTTGATTTCTCTCACAGTTGATAGATGAGCAAATCCTTTGTGTACATGGTGGCCTTTCACCTGACATCAAAACTTTGGACCAGATACGCACCATTGAACGCAATCAGGAAATCCCTCACAAGGGAGCATTTTGTGATCTTGTCTGGTCCGATCCAGAGGACGTAGACACCTGGGCTATCAGCCCAAGGGGTGCTGGCTGGCTGTTTGGTGCCAAGGTTACCAATGAGGTAAGGACGTTCTCTAAATACACTGTCTGTTTTTAGTTCTTTTAACACTCATCGTTATGTGTATACAAAACACTAGCCTGAGACATTTTTCTGAAAATACAGGTTGAAATATGCAAATTAGTCTTTAAGAAATTGCTCTTTTGCGTGGCTATCACTCACTATCTGAGTTATGAAATGGAGTTGTAGCTGTTGGCATTTCCATACACTTTACTAGTGCAGTGAAGTTTCTCACCAATATCTTGTAGTAAAGCAAAAAACTACTAACTGTGTTCCAATTTTCTTGGATCTGAATTGATGAAATGTGCTGTGAGCTAAATATTAATTTGACAGTTAAATTGGCGGTTAACTAAATATCATTTAATTACATTTATTGTCTGTTTCATAAATGTCTGACATGGCTAGTAAAAGAAGAAAAAAAGTGAAGTAAATGTACCTGTTTGTGCAGAACCTGAATTGTTTTTCTTTCCATTTAAGTTTGTTCACATCAACAACTTGAAGCTGATTTGCCGTGCTCATCAGTTGGTTCACGAGGGCTACAAATTCATGTTTGACGAGAAGCTGGTAACCGTCTGGTCGGCCCCAAACTACTGCTACCGCTGTGGTAACATAGCCTCCATCATGGTCTTCAAAGACGTGAACACACGGGAGCCCAAGTTGTTCCGGGCCGTTCCTGACTCGGAAAGGGTCATACCACCGCGAACGACAACACCCTACTTCCTTTGAGGTTTTCACTGTCGCCTTGGTCCAGACCTCTCCTTTTCAATGCTCTGTCAAACACTCTTTTATTGTCTTTAATTTCTGTTGCATTTTTTTTAAGCAAATATTTTTGTAAAGAGTAAAGTGCTCTCCAAAATAACCACAGCAAACTATGGTCAGGATTATGAACCCTGTTGAAGTTTGGTCATTATTTGGTCAGTATATTCTTCTTAATGTGAGAGTGTGATCGTAATTAAGTGGACATCCTCATTCTGTTCTCAAAGCCACTCTTCTTACAGGGCTTTAAATATAGACCTAACAGCCATTGACCATTTAATGACAAAAGTTTATGGTGTAACAACTCGCCTGGTCTGAACAAAGTGTTTTTTTTTTATTTTATTTTTTTTTATTAGAGGACAGATTGGAAAGTCACTGAAACAGCTGTATTGAAGAAGTCTGCTCCTCTAATTAAGTATAGAAAAGGGTTGAGGTGATGATCAGACAACAGGACAAAGGAGGTTGTGATTATTTTGTACATTAATATAATTGTTTGATTTAATCATCTTTTTCTCAGATTTGTTGTATTTTATTATTGTAGAAAACAGCAGCCCATTTACCAATTAAATATTGAAAATAAACCCCTTTATTGTTAAGTTACATTTTCTGGTGTGGTCTACTAATCAATGGAAGAATGAAAAAAGTCTTGCATACAAGACAAATTGAAAAGCACTTCTGTACGACACCGTTGGGCGGCACACGTCCCTTTTAAAACCAACAGACGTTAGCTCCGCCTCTATGTGTAAGTTGTAGCCTGATTGACAACACAGCCAACCAATGGAATGTATTGAACGTCACTAACAGACCGGTGGGGACTGACAAGCATGTTACGTTGAGCGGGTTGCCACAACATAGTCAATGAAGATACAACTGGCCAGACTGAACCGTCGACTGCTGCAGTAGATGCCGAATGGCAGATACTCCCTGCTCTTCCCTGGGAGGGTGATTTGAATGAGCTGGATGTAAACGACGGTGCGGCACAGCACTGGATGTCTAGATTTGTGGCGGGGAGAGATTCACAGGCGCGCGCTACCTGGAGACGCCGTTCTTGAGGAGCCGAAACGGAAGATCAGCGCTCAGGTTGGCTCTCAATCAATGACTTTTTGACAGATATTGCTCGGCGGTTTATGCGTTAGGTAATAGACAAAACACGGCTTAAGTTATCGCGTCTTTGAGGACTAACGTTACGATAGTCAAGCGCCAGTCACTTAGACACAATCACTAAAATATGATTTTTATGCTGTAGCTTTCCGTCAAAGTCCAGTATATTTATAGAAAAGCTGTACGTATCCCTTTACATGTGTGCATATATTAAAAACCATCAATAACATCACGTCAACTCCATTCAGTCATCAGCTCAACATAATTTAGGTTGCCAGGAAACCGCAGTCACAGCATCTGCTAAAGCCACAGTTTTGTCAACTCTGATGGTCATTTTGAGGACAAAAACGTCGTTCACAAATCATGTTAACACAGCTCTGCCATTACACGATCCAACATTCAGTGTCGTCTTTGACAGAGTCACACAGAGTTGTCGTGTATTACCGCATTCTGATCTAAGAGAGAGACAGCCGTCGCGCGAGAGGAAAGTCATTATAGATGAGATGAGGTGAGACGGGCTTTGTCCTCTTGAGTAAATGGATTTAGATATGCTTGATGGTGTGAACTGTCACAGAAATGACCGTTGTTGTTCTTCACACTGGTAATTGATGTAAAACAACAGCGATCAGTCAGTCAGTCCGCGTTCCTGGTCAATGAACCGTTACGCAGAGACGCACGCTGCCAAACACTTCACGTTTAGTTGTAAATCTCACCCTTTGTCTATTGTTCCGTTTAGACCACCCAGATATTCAAGTTGGGAGTGATATTGTGAATGGAACACGAGCCAATAAGCATCTCTGCATTATTATTGAATGAACACGGTTGAAAAATCATTGGCTGTCGCAAGAATTACAGTATGTGCTTCCCGGGTTCATTCTGTCCTGCAACAGCACGGCTTTGATTTTTGCAGAGCGCTCGCTGTCTGCTCAGTTTATTGTTCACGTTCAGGCTGCATCGGCCGTGCGTGCATAATCTGACTGTACGAGCAAGCGCGAATGGTGTATTATTATCGAGCTTATTAGGGCTGTCTCGTAAATATGCATTGGATTTTAAACGAGGTCCTATAATTATGCGAGAAGTGATCATTTGACTGGAACCGATATATGTAGGCTACAAAAAGGCAGATTTGTTGCAGACACGCATGTTTTCTTTGCATCAGCTCTATCACACATCATCTGTGAAAGAGCCGCCAGGTTGCTTAGCTGAAATGACGTCATACAGACTGGCTTGTTATGGAAGAATGAGCTCGTGGACGAGAATTCGTCTTCTGTTACTATAGGTATTAGCAGCATGCGAGTATTTTATTTTTTTTAGTACAATTATGGGTGTAGTTTATCTTAAAAGCATAATTTCGTTTTTAAATCCATTGTAAACCCTATTTAGTTTTTTTTTTCGCCCTACCATGAAATCAATGGGCGATTCTTATATTTAATGGAATTTTGCAGTATTTATTATTCATCTCTTCACACAATAAGTGTTATTTTTTATTTTTTATTTTTAAATGAATGTACACTCACAATCTTGAATCAAAATAACTTCCCTTCCTTGTAGTGACATCTCTTCTTTTCTCTCATAATGTGTTTAGGGGTGAGAGGGCAGGACAACCTGTCAATCACATGAGATCACAATTATTGCAAACTACAGCCATCCAATGATGATCCAATCAATATTGACTAGTCCCACCCTATTTTATTTATTTATTTATTTGTCATAGAAGCCTTACTCGGATATACATCACAATAGGGAAAAAAAGACAATTGAAACTTGAGTTTCATGTCGACTTCTAAAGTTAACATCAACATCACAGGTCATGCTGATATTCAGTACAAGTTACAACAGCAGAATTGTGAGCGCAATATTTCTTAAAGTCTGTGCGCTATCAATATTGACACATTTGCTTTGTTAGTTCACATTACTAGCCTTATATCTATCTACCAACCACCTTTCTGCTGCCCAATTTGTGTATTTTGTTTTTTTCTTAGTGTCACAAAACAATGCACATGATAAAAGCTGATCTGGAACAGCATATGTGAGTGGAAAGGAGCGGAATGATTTTCTCAAAATGTTCCTCGGGTTTCCATTTCCCGCTCTCCTCACACAAGTAGTGAGAGAAACCCGGCTCTGAGTGATTGACATGGCGTTCGAGAGGAAATGCCAATTTGGTCAGCAAATCAAATCTGTGTACTGGATATTACTGTTGCATAGCTTAGAAATAACTTGCAAGATTGCAAGCTAGTTCATAATTATAGCTCCTGTTTGTGAGTTATATAGGTGGCTCCTTTCCTATTTTCCTCTGCATACTTCTTACCTCATTCCTTTGTGGATCTGAATAACATTAGAGAGCCTTGGGCCACTATGTCCAACATGCATTCACCACTCACTTTCACTCCTGACGTTTCACAGTGACGGTATCCCATTAACATTGAGCAGTCATGTAGGCTTTAGCGAAGAGGATACATTAGTCAGCATATGTGTTTGCGTGACCTCGTTTAACTTAGTGATTGCAGTTTTAATTTCATGTAATGATCGATCTTTTATTGTTCGTTTTTAATCGAAGTAGGCTGATCTTTTAATAGTTGATAAATCATGTAGAAAGTAGACCTACTGTAACATGATAAAAAGTCATTTTCAGTAGTTCTTATAAAATGTATTCAGTGATGCAGTGACTGCAAAAAGTGATAATATGATATTGATTTAGCATTGATTTTTAGTTGCATGTGTTGGCTTCACACAGGTCATACATACACACACTGCCTCATCCTGCAGTTCTTTTGCTGCAGATGCATAGCTCATGCATTTTTATAGAAGGAGAGGATATGTGGGTCAAGCTCACATCTCTGTGCAGAAGCCTTTTACCACTTTTGACTTTCGAGAAAGAGCATGCATGCGTTTTCTTCATGAGGCGAGGAGATCTGTCTTATTCATGCCTTCTTTCAACATGCTCTTATCATTCGTTCTTTAAAGCCCACCTTCCATTCATTTCTAGATTACATCTATAGGGTCTTGATGGACAGGTTGTTTGTTTCAGCATATGGCTGATTTCACCCTGTAGCTCTGTGTCTATATATGTAGCCTGCATCCTGGTAATTTTAATTGCCACGTTACAACCAGAAAATAGAAATCTGTGTGTCAATATTGATCTGTGTATTTTTTTTCATTTATTTTAATATACTTGGTTATTCTCAGTAGGGGCCAGTGGAGGCGTGTGGAGGATGATCTACCAAATTCATTTTATATTAAGTAAATTGAAGAAAATAGAATAACTGAAATTGTAAAGATTCTACCGAATTCAACAGCAAAAGATGTTTACAATTTAGATATTCATTTGATAAAAAAATATAGTTCCCTGATGATAGTTCCGTTAACTCATTTGAAAAATGTATCAATTAAAGACTGTGTTTTCCCCAATACATGGAAAAAGGCTGTAGTTACACCGCTCTTTAAATCAGGGGATCCAAGCCTGATTTCAAATTATTGACCAATATCAATCTTGCCGGTTATGTCAAAGGTTTTGGAGAAGGTTGTAGCTGAACAATTAATAAACTATCTAGAGAGTAACAACCTCCTAGACATCAATCTGTTTTTAGAGCCCAGCATTCCACCAAATATATGCTATTTCTTGGAAAAAGCTAGACATTCTCTGAATCAGGGACGTGATGGGAGCAGTATTCATTGACCTAAAAAAGGCATTTGACACAGTTAACCCACACTATACTTTTATCTAAATTGAGTGCTTTTAAAGCTGCAGTCCGTAGTTTTTTTGGGGTTCAAAACTATCTGCTGGCCTTGGCTGGATTCAAAGCGGCAAGCTTGTAACAATGTTTTTAATTGTTTTGGATTTCCGCGGGAGATTCGAGCATGTCTTTGTGTCATTACGTCACATCTGTACATAAGGGGAGGAGTCTCGGCTAGTAGGCTATATTGCGTGTGAGGATGTTGGAGGTGGAGATTTATAGCCATTTCTCACAGCACTTGATATAATTAAACTTATCAATTTGATGGCGGATCTAGAAAGGTTCAAACTGCAATCACTAGTGACAACAGATTCACTCGGTGGAAAATGCTAAAGACTTTTTTTGGACTTTAGAGTGGCTACAGTAAAAAAGAGACTGCAACCAGACCCATGCGAAAACAAGGATAATATTGGAAGGACATTACATGTAGTCACGCAATGCTGACGTTGTTAACATTAACAATTTGTAAACAAAGTATAATTTGCATGGTTTTGTGTAATATTTTGAAACAATATGACAATATGATATGAGCTTGTAAGTGATTTTTAATTTAGTCAGCGCAATTTATTCCAATGTCAGAACCAGAACAAAAGTGGATGTCTCTTACTAGTTCAGATGACATTTTCCGGTGAAAATTCTTACGTTGGTCATACTTCCAAAAATAATAATCTGTGATTCTGAATGCCAGTATCCACTCCAGCGCGGCGACTGACAGCCTCACATTCTCCGCAAACATTGTATTCATCTGCAGCCGAGGGTATTGGAGA